AAATAGTTCAAATATTGGAAAATAGTTAAAAATTTTATGCACCAGCGCATGAAAGCTGAATTCGAAGCCTTGAATGGTGAATATCCTTCCGTGTTTCCTGAGTTAATAGTTTACCCGCTAAAATTTTCACGAGGATGTAGGTGATACTCAAAAGCGCGAGAATGCTGAATTTGAACAGGCAGGGTCGAGCGTGGGCAGGGGATCACTACCCTAAAATTTCAGCCTGCTAGAATTCGTGGTTCCCGAGATATTAATTTACCTGTAAAAAACTTTCACGAGGCTGTTCGTATTACCCGCGGGTACGGGAAAGCTGAATTGAAATGGGCAAGGTTGAGCTTGGGCAGGGGGTCACTTCCCCAAAATTTCAGCTTCGTAGAACCCGTGATTCCCGAGATAATAATTTACCCGTAAAAACTTTCACTAGCCTGTAGGTGATACCCGAGAGCGCGGGAACGCTGAATTTGAACAAGCAAGGTTGAGCGTGGGAAGTGGATCATTACCCTAAAATTTTCAGCCTGCTAGAGTCCATAGTTCCCGAGATATTAATTTACCCGTAAAAAACTTTCATAGAGCCGTATGTGTTACCCGCGGGTACGGGGAGGCTGAATTTAAATTTGCGGGGTCACACGTGGGTAGGGGACGTTCCCCTAAATTTTCAGCTTCCTAGCTTTGTGATTCCCGAATTGAAGGTTGCGGACAAGTTGCTGCGGACACACATACACACACACAAACACAAACACAGTCAACCCGTGACAATATGCGTCTTTTACTGCTGTTACACAGCACAAAACGCATAAAAACGCTTGAAATTAGAAGTGCAGGGTAATAACTTAATCAAGCGTGTCCCCCATGTCCGGAATCATTGGTCATCCAGATGCCTTTAATTTTTGAACTAGCTTTCAGCTGAATAAACGAAACGAGCACAAATGCACTTACAATCCACCAGAAAAAAGCTGATACTCGCCATCGCAGCTTTCATACATCTGCCGGATCAACCAATTTCTGTCAAAAACGACTTCACCGTTTTCGTTATTTTTTTGCAGTTTTGTTCGGATTTCTTCGCAGAGCCATTCTTCAAAGTCCAGCGTTAACTTTCTTAATAAAAAATAAAATTTATTATCAAAAAGTTTGAAAAAGCCAACAATTCATAATAAGCAACTTGTGATATTGATTATACTAACCGGCCAAATAGTGAATAAAAGCAAGATACAAGCAATTCCGGACAGATGGATTTAGCATAGCTGAGTTCGATATCTTAGTAACCTTGGGGACTTCAAACCACTAACGAGGAGAATTCCAGTGCTACAAGTCTCACACAAAATGTACCGCGTACTGCTAAATACTCATGCATTTAAACAAATTTATTTGTAGTTGAAAGATTCAAATGCCAAAAATTCAATCAAATGAACGGAACAAACCCTCGTCGGATGCGATATTCGGGCAAAAAATAACTGCCATTCGCATAAACATAGTAAGATTTTAATGCTGGCGCACATACATTGTCCAGAAACCAAAGAAAATAATCGTTGTAATTTTCGTTCAATTTT